CCAAGCATGCTATTAATTGGAACTTGGCTGTACAAGAACGCGGTAAATTTATTTGGGAAATCAACATCCTTTGACAACACTTCTGAGAATCGTATCGATGACGCTGAGAAAATTAAAATAACACATGTATCCGCGCTAAATGAACACCTGCATATCTTATTTGGGCCACAACCCTTTTCGTTTCATTTTATTCTTTACCTGAGCAATTGGCATGTGATTTTAACGAACACTGTTCCAGTGACAGTTCGATAATTATCAAATAAATCAACTTTATGTGGTGCTTATACCAACATGCAATTTTGCTCAAATGTTTTAATTAATTATATGATAGAATGAAAAGACTGTAATACTTTTGATCTGTCAATGTTGGTAACATATTTTTCGTCGTCAAGGATAATACAGTTTGTTTGTTTATTTAACAGTTTAGTATGCGGTGAACATTTGGCAACCCATTTGACGGTTCTTGCTTTATTTGTACAAATACAGTTTGGGATATGTCAGTTTCTGGTAACCTACACGGTTAGCATGACCAAATTATCACAATTCTTCCAGATGCTAAGCTCCAGGACTATGTAGATTGTGTTGTGAGTAGTTGGTACTGATATATTTAACTTGCGACAGAAATTGTATACTGCATAACTTCGTTAGGAGCAATATCTGATATGTTAAAATGATAATACCCTCAATCAAATGATGCGCTGTGCACTAATTATTCCGTTATAGGTTGCTTGATGACGTAGCTAGGGAATTATTTATCTAATATTTCGCTACCGTGTCTATGTACGTTAGTAGTATATAAGGCACTGGTATTCAGCTTGACAACTATTATTTTGCCCATGATCGTGCAAACTCCGACGGTCACTAGGCGAGAGAAATATGTGCTGTTATTTACTCAATAAAAGATAAAACAATTGATCGGTACCTATCCGAGTGTTACCTTACTTAGCTGGATCAATTCTTGATAAATTTCCTTCAGCTACTGCGGAAGACAATTCTGTACTGCATGGTAAATATACCTGAAATGGAAATTATATATATTTTAAAGCCGTGGTTACTACAATATATACAGTAGCTTTGGAACACATTTTGATTATCTGCTTACATGAAAGCAGCAGCAGCAGCATTGTTGTTTGACAAGAGTTTATATCATTTGATTGGTCTAAATGTCCTTATTTTTTACTGGACAAGATACCATCCATAAGATATTATTCTATAAAATAATGAGGGAGCTACCCTGTCCTCTGCACGGTAGTAACGTGCAAGTCAGTGGATAGTGAGCGGCGCTATATCACATCAAGTCACTTATTCACGATGGTCATTGCCGTCCCCCGTAGCTCAGTGGTCTCAACCACGGACTGACAACAGTCGAGGTGCGGGTTCGAGCCCTACCAGGGGTCCGATGGAATGCGCGCTGCTGACGATTCCCGAAAGGAGGAAACGCGCGTACAGTGCTTTTCCGGGCGTGTGACGGCTTTCTGAGTGAGCCTAGATGTGATGAATTTCTTCCTATAACATTCAACTCTCCCTACTACTCTTCTGTAACCAGTACACAGACCAAACTGCTTATAATGCCATGAGTTAATTGGCGGCTTAAGTTTGGTAAGCTCGTCGCTTGGTGAGGGAGCTACACTGTCCTCTGCACGGTAGTAACGTGCAAATCAGTGGATAGTGAGCGGCGCTATATCACAGCAAGTAATTTATTCACGATGGTCGTTGCCGTCCCCCGTAGCTCAGTGGTCTCAACCACGGACTTGCAACAGTCGAGATGCGGGTTCGAGCCCTACCAGGGGTCCGATGGAATGCTCACTGCTGACGATTCCCGAAAGGAGGAAACGCGCGTACAGTGCTTTTCCGGGCGTGTGACGGCTTTCTGAGTGAGCCTAGATGTGATGAATTTCTTCCTATAATAATGCTCATTTGTCTGTTTAAAGTTTAATTATTTAGCTTTCAAATGATTGTGTCTCCATCTCTCATCTGGGCATAATATTGTGAAAATATTAACAGACTACTCCATACTTTCTACATCGGTTTACTAATTTCAACCGCTACTTGTTAAATACTTTCTTCAAAATCCCTTCTTACTTGGGTGGCAATATGTTAAGTCAATAAATTATTGAAACAAATCACTTTGCGCCCAACATCTATTGGCTATGCAGCGCTGCGATTACCACAAATGCACCAATATAACGTTACTTCGATTGAGTAGGCTTAGCAGGATGTCGAAGAAAAGCACTCGTTGTGTTCGCGATTAATTTTGGCACATGATTTTTTGATGAGTACCTACACTCTGCATGTCGAAAACTTTGACCCTGGCGCTATCCTAATTTATCTAGAGTACGCATTTTATAGCGGTTTACAAATTTCAAAGAAAATGTAACCAACCTTGCATTGTGTTAATCCACGTTGTGGTAACTTACAATATCTTTGAAATCAATGGCTTAAATTGTGCTACTAACGGAGATAGGTTTATTCCATGAAATGTACTGGAAATGCTTGTTTATATAAGGATATGCAAGTTTCGCATGAATAGACTAAGCGTTTCTTATTGGACCAGCTCAATATTTGTTATTTGAGTAGATAGTAATGGATTAATCATGGATTAATCATTTCTTTGAGTACAGGTGAACGGCATCGACGTCAGAAGAGCGCCACACCACATGGTCACGGATCTTATTGTACAGTCTGGGGACCGAGTGACCTTAAAAGTGTTGCATGGTAATCACTCACAGGGTGAGTCTCTGTTTACAAATTATCATGTCTCAGAAAAGCAAAGCACTACCATGTTTTATGTAATTTCTACAGGTAGTACATATGGTTCAGAGTCAAAAATACTTTTGTGCAAACCACCATATATCCATGGCTTAGCTCATATGAAATTTGGCTTTGTACCGCTGCAGCACACAAGCACGTAGAAAACTAGCCTTGGAATGCGGCTTTTAAAGCCAAAAACACCTAACATTAATGCGTTTCAACTGCGTTCAAATTGATCGAAGTGACAGAAGTTCACTTCAATGTGCATCATAATTTTGACTGGAATTACGTGTCACAGTTTTACCACACAATGAACGGTCTACAATTTCGCCTTCAATAGGGAGTTGAGTAATTTGTTCTTTACGACCACACAATACTGAATACTGAGAATAGAGAGCGGGAAGATAAAAAATATGTGTTGCTCCATCATAACTGGACCGGGTAAATGCGCGTAATCACCTCGCTGATTTATGCTCGGTGGCAGCATAGTGTAACTGCGCTACATCTTATCCGGGTACGATACGCTCCTTACACCTGTAGTCCGCAAAGTAGGCGTCAAAGGATCTATCAAATTCCGACACCGATTTCACCTCCATTAATGTTTCCGGCAATTGATTCCAGGGTTTCACCACTCGACTCTCGAAGCACATAGTGATGAGCGATACGCCATCAGTACCACCCGTTTGTGCCGGTGTCCGAGTGTACCGCTTGGTGCGCAAACGTGCAGCAGCAAATTCAAGATAGAGAAGTGTCCAAGGTAAAATATTCGGTGCGTCATTATGAAATCAACTCACAGCATACGATATGACGGGGTATAAAGCCCTAGTCTACTACATCCTTCCAAGTACGACATACCCCGGAACCTGGGTATGCGCCTGGTAGCTAAATGCTGGATCCGTTCCAGTCCCTGCACCTCATCTATTGTGAACGGACACTAGACGAGTGATTCGTACTCAAGCACCGGGTTGTTTTACGGAAGAGTACAGACAGGTGGCAATCTTCAGACCAAGTGCATAAGCTGCGTCTAAGTGCCAAAACTAGGCGTATTCCTTTTGTATACAGTCTGTTTGGGTTGTCAACAGACTTCAGTTCACAGTGTGAGAAAAAGCCTAGATAAGTTACGGAACTGGTGGGATGCAGCTGTTGACGGGCCAGGGTGTACCACGCCCATTACCATAAATGAGGACTTGGCCGGGTTGATCGTATGTCATCTACTGCAGACCACCAGGATAAGCGACCAAGGTGTTGCAGAAGGACGTCAGTATCGTCTGGAGAATAAATAATCATCCAACTCTTCAGGTCATCTGCAAACAATACGCAGGGCGACCGAAGAAGCTGAGGTACTTCTTTGAGCTTCTGAGAACTTACCGACATTGCGATACTATTAATTTATTGGACAATATGATGCGGGAAAAGACAACCTAATTTTTAACAAGTCGTGAGTATTAGTATAATTATTAGTGGTAGTATTATACGCAGCAGTCTGTTGAATAGACTCAAGGTCAAATAAACCATGAAAATCACCAGAAGAAAACAGATTTAATCAACGGAGCAACATCATGGCGTATAAACTGTAGGTGGAAAACACATTACATTTATTGTGCCTCACAGGAAGCAAAAATGGAAACATTTTGTTATTATGCACACACCATTCTTTTCAGTTTTCGGACTTTTTTAATCGTTAAGCATTATGCGACCAAATCTACACAATTATGTGCACAGTTACTCCAATGGTATCGATTGCGCTTCATATCCTGAATTGTTTCCAGCCAACGACACCCCACATCCTTTGGTCCCCCACCAGGCATACCTGTTGAACAAATGGTGGCGAGTCGTGAAGTCAGCGATTTCACATGGTGTCACCAGGTGGACGGCTGACCGCCACATTGTGTCTTCCTGCCAAGCCATGCACGAGCGAAAAGTGCGCAGTGAGAGAAATGTTCAGCTTGCATGCGCAGGACATGACCAAGCCATCTTAACGGACCCAACCAAATCAGCTTGTTGAATGTAATACTTGATTTCCCTAAGATACGACGTCTGACATCGTTGTTGCTGATGCGTTGTTGCCACCACACACGAGCAATCCTCCTCCAGCACCTTTTGTCGAAGGCCGAAAGCCAGCGCATGTTATCCACGCGAAGAAAACGCCTCCGTATAGTAACACTGCGAAAACAGCGGCATCATAAACACGACGTTTTACCAAGTGTGTGAAACATGCCGACGACGGCACTAGTGTTTCAAGTTGATAAATGGTGGCCTAGCTTTGGCGATGCGAAGAGAAACTTCCCTTTTAATGTTACCACCAGCAGACACACAGACATCTTAGTAAACAAAGCTATCCACTTTTGCACGCAGTGTATCTTCAATAACGAGCACGGGAACGGTTGCGGGCCAATTCTGAAGCGACAAGCTACTCTTTGACAGGACAAATCACATTCCGTACCTAAATGCTTCAATTGCCATATGCTCTAGAATGCTTTGCATGCGCTATGAGTTGGTACCAAGTGAGGCGATATCATCGGCATAATCTAACTTGGTCGCTCGTTTACCCGGTAGTAGCTGTGGATCAAAATTTTGGAGACCGTCCGGAGCTCTCGACAGGATGTCTTCAGTCGCAAAATTGAAGAGGAGCTGGGAAATAGGGCAGCCCTATCGTACACCGCTATTGACAGCGAAGGACGACGAAAACTGCCATAAACCGTTACTATGCGGGAGATGGGGTGGCTGAATGCGCGTAGGATGACAGTGTACTTTTCCGGGCCCCTTACGGTAGCCAACAACGCTAGAGTGCAGGTTGATCAACCGAGTCAAATGCAGCACGAAGGCCTAGTAATGCAACCTTGGTAGGCCACAGTTAATTATGGCGGTGTTCCTAGATTTGGCGGAGCGTAACTATTTGATCCACGCACCCACGGCCAGATTGGAAGCCAGCTTGTTCTTCACGGCACTTCGATTCATGAATGCGGGATAGTCGGCCAAGTAGAAGTAATGGCAATAGCTTGAAGGTAACCGAAGTGGATTGCGAGCATCCCTCTTTAAATCGGGATAATGCCTGACTCGGTAAAAGAAGAAGGCATCTTTCCATTCAAGCCAGCTTTTTATGAACAAAGTAGTTAGCTTTCTGATGATAACTGCTCCTGCATATTTGAACTGCTGCGAAAGAAGACCACCTGAGTCGGCAGCCTTGAAACGTCTCAGGTTATGAATCACAAGAAAAGCTTCTGCTTCCTTGGGGATTCAACAGTGATGAGCAAGCGCAGACAGCCCTATTCGCAGGGCATGCAAGAAGACGGTGAGGGCAAATTGAATTGGGAACCAAAACGTTCGAACCCTGTAGATTGGCAATGGGCGAGGCAGCAGCTTTGTTAATAGTATCATTGTCACCAGTCTTGCTGTGATCAATGTGCCGATTGAGCTGCAAGAGCTTGCAAATGTTGCCAGAGATGGTAGCATCCTTTATCTCCAAAACACGCTGAAACCATCAAGCTTTACGATCACTGCCTAGGCTTCGTTTGAACTACTGACTGACAGAGTAGCATTAGACACCATTTGAGCTTCCGACATATAGAACTGTAATTCTCATTAAGATTAGACGCAGCAGGCATATTTCTGAGGCGGTCCAATAGGTCCAACTAATGCGTCTAGATCCTTGTCTTCACGGGGAGCTGAGTAAGACAGTGAACTAACTACTCGGAAGATATCATGGATCTCTGCATGAACGTCCGGTATTAATCCATGTCTTGCGGAGGGTCACAGCTGTGTGCATCGGCCAGAGTAGCTTGATAGTTATGCCGAACCGAGAGAGTAGGTTGATTATTTGTGTCCATCTTTCAGAGTTCCATTTTTTGGAGCCCCCGAAACGCATGCATATGTTCGCACAAACAAGAGCATGGTCTGAGTCAAGAAAAGTGGACCAGATTTATTTTCACTCTTTTATACTACTACGCAATCCATAACTGCTAGCGGTATGATCACTCTGATACAAAGCTTGGGACGCAGAAATGGTCGCCAAGTGGCGGAACATCTCTTCGAATGCCGAAAGCTGGTGCTCGACCGAAATAAACGATTTTCTTAGCATAAAGTGAATAGTCTTTCACCATTATCCGAGCAGCTCTCATCAAGCGCATGGTGACCACGGAGATGACTTTCTCCAGACAATAGACGACCGACCCGTGCGTTGAGATATCCATCAACAACAACATTATCAGATTTCCCAACTTTACTCAACGGGTGGTGGTAAAGTTCATAGTAGAGATCGTTATTAACGGAGTCGGGACTGCATTTATTTGAAGGGTAAGTTGAAACCAAAAGCAAGTTGTGGCTCTCCGCATAAAATCTGTTGATTCTGGATGATTGGCTATTAATCAAAAACCGGTCTATCAGTGGAACTTCAGCTTTGCTGCTTATCTCTGCACCAAGGCCAGCCAAGCCTGTCACAGCTGCTTCTGTGTCACCAGACAGACGTAGATGAAATCTGGCACCTTGGTCGGTTGGAAATCTCAAATCAAATAGTGTACTGGAATTTTGCAAGCGTGTATCGGAAAACAGCAAACATCGATAGCAAAGGATTTCAAGTTGCGCTCAATACCAGGCCTGCTGCCCGGATCTACATGAGTTTGTGTACCTTAAAGCATATAGGGCAAAAGGAGGACCGAGACCGAAGGAAGACCACCGGACAAACTCTGTTAATGTTGATGAAAAAGGAATCAGCTGATAAGAGATAACACTGGTTGGTAACAAGTGAACTGATGGTGTCGGATTAAGGTGTCCAGATAGCAGTAGGCAAGGCAGCTAAAAGCGATGTAACAGACGAGTAATCCTTGGTTTTTTCAGTGGGTGTGATACTACCTTGTTGCCCAAGCCGAGAATAGGTGTTCTATTGTGTGATACTTCGCTGACTTTGTGTCTAACTAGACTACCCGCAATGCAGCGTTGTGAATTCAGGAAACCCTGCCTAATGGGAGTCGGTAAATAAATGTTCTGTTCATGCGTCTTTTATATAGCAGATTATCGAACATATGCCTATTAGTTCCTATGAAATCAGCACAATTGCTGGAGTACAATGCCTCATGGAGGTGGAATGCTGCCGTAGAACAATTCGCTCGAACGGGATGCATCCGAACCACCCAGCTGGCACCACGAGGAGGTAGTTTGACAAGCCACTAGGGAGTAGATTCTCTGGAAATTCATATAGGTGTTGTTTTAGGTGATAAGTAGGTTGAGCACTATTATTTTGTCATGATACGCAGTACTGGTTGATGTCAAATAGTTGCTTAGAAAATTTAAGTATTTTTAAAGCACATTAACCCATTTTGTCAGTAACTTATGTCAATAACACTGAATTTATGGCCCCGCGACCAAAGACATACTTTTGATTTTTATGATTCCCCTGTTAAGTAAAATTAGCCGAGCTTACTTACAATGTATAAATAATCTCGTTTATTATGATAAATGGTGTTCACATCGACATCTATAGACAAATGGCGGGTATAACTATCAAATGGTAGTTGGTGCAAGCATGTAATAATTCAGATAAATCATCATCCTCACTCCCAATCAACAGGCTTAGGCTAGTATGGAATAGCACCAGACGCCGGCGTTTCAACCTTCTGGGTCTCGTCAGCGGTGCGCTTTCCAGCGGGCCCTGCCAGCTTCCGCCCCCATGACTTCCGGATACCAGCAGCTAGTGCCACTTCGTCATGGGTGACAGCCGCGGGGCTGCGTGATTGACAGTTGCCTACGATATAGCCCGGCTCATCTTCGACTGCAATGCCAGTTACGAAGCTTGCAGAGGATGGTCGCTAGCCTCACGAACTAGGAATTCGGCATAGCGACTATGCGCGACCTAGGACTTAGAATCTATACGGACAGCTTTTATATTACTGACGCGTAGTATGCAGGATTTTGGTATAATTCAGCTCATTCATCATCTAATAATTTTGCCCATCTTGCCACATGAATTTCGCTTGAAACAGAACCAAGAATATGCTAAAAGGTTGTTTATACCTCCCTTTGTTTGCCGGCCCAATTTACTACGTTCAAAAAGCAGTCTATTTTACTTGGGTGAATACATATTTGTCTAAAAGTTCATCTCACCTCTTTGAACTCATTTTTGGTTGCCAAGCCAGAAACCTCTATGCCCTACGTCCGCTGCGGAAAGCCACAAGGTCATCCCAGACCGAACCTAAAAGAGAGCCCTACAATGCCTCTCCCATTTGACAGTGAAGCCCGTTTTCCTGACAAACTACACTTAAGAATACAGTACTCCGCTTTATTAAATTGCCCTGGAGAAATATCATAGACAAGCGCAGGATATTCTTATTTGTGAAAGGCTTCACTTGACGGATTTCAGAATTTTGAAAACCGGAGTTTAGTAAGACCAGTGATTCAGAATGCATGTTAACAACTTGAATAAGGTCCATTTTGCGGCGAAAGTATGTAAAAGTATACAAGTCTAGTCTGAAACTTGGCATCGTTAATGTAAACTCGCGCTATGAAAAGTCAGAAAATGCGTTGTATATTACGAAAACCTTTTACTGTTTGGTAGGTAAAAATTAAGAGTCTACAGTAGTTAAACCATCGATTTTAAGACATAATAATAAGGAAGAGCAAATAGGATTTTCCTATTATTTCCCAAATTCACTTGTTAAATTGGCCCTAGTAATTTACTTTTGGTCTTAACAACTTTAATTTGTTTTGTATTTAGGCTAAAGATGCACTGCAAATCCACTGTTGATATGATTGATTGACATAGTGAATCGAATGATGGGGCTATTTGAGTTAAACAACTAGGAATTCGACGAGTGTTGACCACCAGAAAATATAGCATACAGCCAGAAATCCCGTTGCTGAGGTTGCAAAGTAAAAGTGGAACGTTAGCCTTTAAAATTTGCACATTTTATTAGTGGTGTAGGACTGGATCCTAAAGAACCTGGTTCATTGTTCCAAGTATCCTCGACAATACTAGGATCTTGGACTTAAGTGCAAACGCCGATCCGTCAAACAAAATAACCTACCCTAACGTAATCTTTACGCCTGTTAATGCGTTTCCTCGTAGGTAGACACGCACGGAATTGTGTCAATATGGCTGATAGACGAAATTCATTTCGCCGTCCCGAATCCGCCGTTCCATGTTACCGATCACTTTCGATCCGCCCTGTTGCTTCATGTGCGCATCGATCGCTCAGTTCAAGCCGTTCATTTGAGAAGGTCATAGACACCGGCAAATCGATCGCCTTTGGCGACTCTCAAGATCGTCACACAACCATGAGTTGTGCAGAATTTCGTAAACCGCTCCACATACATCGTCTCCCCTCGGGTTATCACTCCGTCTCAGAAGGGGAGGAGAAGTGTTCAGGCAATAATCGTGCTACGCCGGTTCCAGCGAACAAATCTAACTCGAACTTCAAAGCACGCGTTGTGTTGATCAGAACGCAACAATCTTCATCCGAAAAAGCGGTGAGTATTAATGTCACTGATAAGCAAGTTCAAATTGGGTTAGAGATTTGCATTACAAATCTGAGATGAAAATAAAACATGCTAGTAGAAGTGAGATCAGTGGCAAGGTCCAGTTTTTAAAATCATGAGATTATCCGAAATGCCACAACTAGCTGACGCACTTCTTATTTGCCTTTCCGGTTAGAAATCAGTGTAATGTTTGTGCTAGTATGACATGAAATGACTGTTTGGTCATAGTTTGAAATTCACTGTCAAATGGCATGTGGTGTTGTCTATTGCGTCATTATCTCGCCTCGCAAAATAAGGCGGACGTTTAAATCAAATCATTAAGCGGTCACACATCAATGTGGACCAACAACCACCGTGTCCTATAGCTAGTGTCTTTAGCTTCGTTTCGACTCGGTAACAACCTAGCTTTTTCATATGTTTCTTCAATAAGTTGATGTATTCAGTATTACTAAAGTTGAGATAATGGTAGGTTTAACCGCCTGGTTTAACTACGAATATTTTCAATCATGACGCGCTCTACATTGGTTAGTATACACTATTTCATTTCAGACAATTTTAGTTCATACACTGGCAGCCACTTTACGATTTGGTAATAATCTATTTCGATTCATTTGAGGGGTTATACATTGTATAGTTGCGCTATCTCTTGGAGACGAGTAATATCATTGTGTCTCTTTCTCAAGCTAGGTCATTTGGTGTTTAATGACATTTTTCTGCAACCGACTTGCCTTTTCACAAATTTATATTATCCACAGAATGATCAGAACCTAGTACTGGGTGGACAACAGGAATCTAGCTCGGTCATCCGGTGTGAGTTGAAACATTTCGGAGGTATTCCACTTTGGTTTCTCTTCTCTAAACACACGCGTTTCCCTTAGGAAGCTATGCTACCTTTTATGACAGAGGAAGCAAAATCTATTTTTGTCAAAAATAAGCCAATTTTCCTCTATTCTTCTCATTAATAGTCTGAATGGTTTAAAAGTGCCCGAAATACCAAATGTTAACCGCATATACCCATTAGACGTAATTCAAACGGATAAAATGAAAATAAAAAGCACTTTTATTTCTGCGGTTTTAATGGCCACAGTTGTAGTTACGATCAATAGCAAACTTCATATAAAGAAAGTTAATACATACAGAGGGAAGTTTAAACATTTTATGACATTTGCATAATAAGTACTTCTGTGTGTCTTTACATTTGAAGCGACGAAAACTGATGAGTGTACGTTCACGAAGGGCAGACGGCGAATCTCTTGGGGCTCTGATAAGCTTTTTTTATAAAGTAAAAAGTAAAACAACACAGTGTTAAAATACTTATATATATACTACGCATATAAATTTACGAAGGCTTTATAACCATAAGCAAATTTGACTTTCATACTTTAAAGTTAATTTTCATTAGGTTAAATATTTCTGTAAACATTATAAGTTACACAGCTTAATATTTTACTAAACCGGCTAATGTCAAGCAGCTAGATGTTACTGACACTGCAACGTGCCTTTCAAAATTGCATAATGAAACCCAGTTCGCTAATCATCGTGATGCTTTCTTTGTTAAACTGGTACAGCGAGCACAACTAGCAAGTTTTGTCTGTCCACCCGGCGCGCGTTCCAGCCTGCGTAGGGACAGCGCGACTATCGCGGTATCCCTAGCCCACGTGCAACTGGTGGCGGTTGCCCGACAGTGAAGCCTTTGTACTACTTACCGGTGTACTGCTGATGCCCGTCTAATTATTTTGGACGTAGGATTATAAACTAAGACGTGAAAATGACCGTAAATTTACAAATCATTTTGGAAAATCGAACTGCGTCTGTAGCGGAAAAGGGTGATAACCGACTTTTAAGATCGATAAGAATATGATTACCTTTCATTGACGAAGTACAGAGGTACTGCAGCAATAAACTACATATACCAGGTGGGCTATTTTATCTCTGACTCCAAGGTAGTTATGTATAAACAACAACTGAAAAGACTAGCAATCTGTCATTGATCCTCAGTCAGCTATATATATATATATAATGGAAGAAGGCCGATGAGCTTTCATTTACCAACCGTGGCTCGATTATGGTGAATGCCGGTCATTTACGCTTGTTTCCCCAACATCTATTGGCCATCCAATGTTTAGCGAAATGCGCAACATGCTACTGCGCGTGCAAAGACTTGAATTTCCCCCTCATCTTAGTGGTGAGGACGTATGGAATTCTCCGCAGATAAGTGAGTTAGTGCAGGGCTCAGCCGAGAAGAAGCGTGACCTCTAAAATCGCACCGACATGAGGTTGTTTTGATCATGAGCGAGATGAGCACAGACAGCCACGTGTTTCCGGTGTTCCTTAGCTGTCAGTTAACTTCGCGCTAAGTGCTGAAGGTCATGGCCAACCGTAGGCGTTGGAGCGATCGATGGTTATCTGTATTTGTCTCGCTGGCTACACAGAGAAGTCGGCGTAGGCAACCAAAACGGCGGCCTGAATGTGCGCACGTGATGGCAGCTCAGCTGAGGACGAGGTTAGGTATTGCAACTTTTGTCAATGTTATTGAATAACAGATAATGGAACACGAGCAGACAATGCAGTCGGGAGCACATAACGTGCCTGTTACTCAGCGTGCGCTGATTATTCGTCTGTACGATGAATGCGGTTTAAACGCCGCATCAAATTCTAGAAAATACAATGCAATGAACGCAGGAATGCGTCCCGTCACCGCCCGGTACTTGCTAAAACTAGTGAAGAAATTCGTACACCTGGGAGTGTGTGACATGAAGAGAACCGGACCGCCTCGCACCACCACGGACGACTGTTCAGTTTGCGCTGTAGTCAGTGAAGTGTCAACAAGTTCCGGCCTCAGCATTCGTCGGATCGCACAACACTGTGACACGACCCGATATGCGTTACACCGGATAATACTGGAACGAAAATTTCGGAGGTTCCGTGCAATTCAAGTGTAGGCTTTAAACCCATGCGATCCGGAGAAGCGGCATAAATTTTGCCGCTGGTATCTTGATCACGGGGATATTCGTTGTGTTATCTTTACAGATGAGGCATTGTTTCATCTGCATGGAACAATGAAACATTACTCTTGGGCTACTAGCAACCCACGAAAATTTGCCGCAACACGTATGCATCACAGTGTGAAACTGATGGTTTGAGCCGGATTAACAAGCCAGAAAATCTTGGGCCCATAATTCTTTTCCGGGAATGTGACCGGTAGGTTGTTGTTTTGAAGTACCAAAGCCTTATCATTCCTGGCATCGCCGTATTTAGAAATGCTGCAGACATTTGTGCTTCCCCAGTTGGAGGCCGAACGGCATGCAGTAGCATTTGGTGGCAGCAGGATGGTGCACCTGTACATTCTGCTAGAACGGTGCATGCTTACCTCACCGACAAATTTGGCCACCATTCGATCGGACGCGGTGGACCAATGGAGTGGTCTGCTTGCTCACCAGATTTCAACCCCATGGACTTTTTTCTATGGGGCTATCTGAATCGGCGAGTGTTAAAAACAAGGCCGCGTACATTGGATCAATTGAAAGAAAATATTGTGAACGAATGTCGCGCAACCACGAGAGATAGATTGGGAAAGTTGATCGCCAATTGCATCGAGCGGTTTCTACGCTGCAATCAGAAAGGCGGCGAACATTTTGAACATATCTTTCACTAGCATAGATGATCGTTCCAATACATTTCTGTTAATATGCTTATCCTCTTTCACAAATTTGTTAACGACTAAACTGATCCGCTGGCAAATGGTGCTAATGATGCGTCCGGTCGGATAGAATTCTTAACGTCCAGGCTGTCGTTGAGCACATAAACAGCGTAGGTACCGAAACGTTCCATGTATACTTATGGCAGCATCACTGAGTCACTATGAGTTGAGATTCGTCCAGCATATATGAAAAGCAGACTGTGTTGTTGACTCAGTTGCAGGCTATTGCCTGTGAAGTTGGTGTTCGGGATGAGTTGCAGTAGGTGGCAAAATGTGTACGTGAGGTCTTTCCGCATCTGGTAGACTAGTATTAGGTCTCCACGTAGCCACATGTAGCGTCTACTGAACACTCTGAGTGTTTTAATCGCTGCTGGTATGAAAGGTTGCACAATCTCTTGACACATATCGTTGCTTGTCCATGGTATGTTTCAAGCGCTGCGAGATCACGGCTTAGCCAAGCATGCCAAGCCTGGATTACGTATTCGACGTGTTAACTCATGTAGGCATGGAGCATCATAGAGAAGATGAATGAATCCAAACTTTCGAATGCCATCCGCAAGCTAACATCCTGCTGGTTACCACTTTTGTATTCCCACTGTCTGGAAGAACCGAAGTCGTCCTGCCCCAGCACACCGACGTCAAGTTCCTGAGTGTATGTCTGCAGGTCATATGCCCCAATGTTCTAGAGCTAGGCGTGTCTATGGCGGATGTGGACAATGTGTCACTTGACCACATTTAATGGCAGTGAATTCCTCCCCTATCAATGCCAGGTCCCATCTAGGTTGTACATGGAGGATCTTGTGGTCGTCCATTCTCTTGACCCCCGGCCAACTTTTAACGTCATCCGGAAAAGTAAAAGTTTTGCGGTGATGGCACTCGCAAGTCGTTGCACTCCACTCGATTAGAGTCGGGCAAAGATCTTCGGTCTCTAACCTAGAACTGCTGTTCACGGAGAAAATTACCAACCCATCCAAATAATGCATTGCCTACGTTTTCCAATAGCCCATCATTACGTTAGTGATGATGGCTTCCATAACTTTGGAAAGGGTAGAGAGAAGTGTTACCGGACGGTAATTGGTAGGATAAGACGGACTTTTCTGAAAGAATCCGGCAAGTGGCTGAATTAGTTGAATGGCTGCTGCCTGCGGTGCTTTAGCATGAAAGTTATCCACTCCAGAAATGCAGTATGTATGCAAGGATGGTGGCCTTTTCAGAATCATTTTTGCTATGAATTTGATGCTGGATAACGCTGATGGTGTTGGGACAGAAGCAATTATAAGGTGTGAGGTTAATACACTTTGAAAAGTAGATCAGTACTGGGCAACGATGGGTTGTCCGCGTTTTGTGTGTGTGTGCATACCCACCAATCGTACTGAGTGGTGCGATTCCACGCTGCAACTTTCGAAGTGCATTCACGTGTCTGTAAATAAGTCTGTGATTCGAACGGAATTGTTTCGCTAGCTCCAGTCGGTGTGATAACTTGTTTTCACGAACCAAATGTATATATTAATTGCTCAGAGTTACCTACGCTGTCTCATTCTCAACGTCAGGATTGTCTATGTGAAGGCGCCACGTGTTCCTCCAAGGCCATATTTTTGAACAGTATTTGTGGTAATCCAGATAATTTTTTACTGTGTCCCACCGAGGTTCCTTCTTCGGTTGCGCCCGTAATGTTTAAAGACAGTGCAGAAGCTTTATCACATTGTGTCTCTAAATACCCCAGTGCTTTTTCAGTAGGTCTTGGAACTTGTTCTAAGATAACAGCTGTGTTCTATCCGCGTACTAGTGTACGTGCAGTATTTTGTCCCAAAAGACCAGTGCCATACGCTGCTCTTGAGGTTGTTGATGCCGAAGTTAGTCAACTGGAGTCCATGGGCGTCATCACTTCTGTGAGTTACTCAGCGTGGGCCGCTCCTATTGTAGTCATCAGAAAGGCTAATGGCAGTTTGCGTATTAGTGCTGATTTTCCTCCCGGATTAAATAGCGCAATGGAAACGCATCAATATTCCTTACCTGTTCCAGAGGATTTACTCACAAAACTTAATGGAAGAAATATATTTTCTAAAATTGAGCTTTCTGATGCATGCTTGCATTTATTGATCGAGGAGCGCTCAAACGTACTGCTCAACATTAATACTCATCGAGGCTTGTATCTTTACAATCGGTTACCTTTCGGGGTAAAATGTGCTCCAGCGATCTTTCAGCAATTGATGGATTCTATGCTATTCGGATTACGTTGTGCCATGGATTATATAGATTACATAATTATTGTAAGCTTCACCACTGAGCAGCATTCACCCACCTGAACGAAGTATTCTACGGGATAGATTCATATGGATTTCCTTTACGTCCAGAGAAATACGGACGTATGATACCCAGTATCACATATCTTGGCTCGGTTATCGACAGTTCTGGTCGTCGGCCAGACCCAAACGAAATAAAAGCCATGAAGTTAATGACACACCCCATGAACAAAGCTAATTTGCAGTCTTTTTTGGGTGTACTTAACTAGTACCACAACTTTGTCCCTCATATGCATTAAACCCTGGGTCACACTAAATGCACTTTTGGCAAACGTGTCAGTTTGGCATTAGTCCTCGCAGTGCCAGAAAGCCTTAGATGGCATTAAACCAATATTGTCCTCCGATCTCCTTTTACCTCATTACGACCAAGGATTACCAATAATTGTCGCTGCTGATGCATGGCAAAACGGTATCAGTGGTATCTTGTTACATCAGTTACCGGATGGACATCAAAAGGCTGTGATGCATGTTTCCAGCGCGCTGACAACCGCAGAAAAGAACTACAGTCAACTAGAAAAAGTAGGCCTAGCTCTCTTTTTTGCAGTTTAGATATTTCATATGAGACATGGAAGCAAATTTGCTTTCTACACAGACCATTAACCTACGCTATATACTTTTGGCACCAAACGAGGAATCCCCTTTCACAAGGCAAACAGATTACAGCCTTGGGCAACCAACCTATTAGCAAACGAATTCGATTTGCTTTTTAAAGGTACCTCTTCTCTTGGTCATGCTGATGCATTATCCAGACGGATTGCCGATTGTACGTCCAAGACACAGATGAAGACAATGTTGTGTCCAGTATTACCTTAGATCCCGAAATTAGACAATTATTTCAAACATCTGTACGTCTACTTCCGGAAACAGCAAACGCAGTCATAAGAGAAACAGCAATTGATCCCCTGTTACAAGGTATTATGGGTACCTTAGCACTGGATGGCCTGCACCCCCTTGGAAAGTTATGGTGCGCAGTTTCGTGAACGAAACTTTGCCTTAACCACCATCGTGATTCCAAAGATTCTACAAAAGATGGTTCTCAGTCAGCTCCACGATGGTTACCCAGGAATCAGTCGTATGAAATCCATGGCCCGCTGCAACGCCTACTGGTCATTCATAGAGCAGGATATTGAAAATGTGATTCCTTCCTGTAACAACTACGACATGGCAGCAAAACTACCTGTAAAAATGTGAGCTACATTTGTGGCAAACTCCAACTGGACCATAGTCTCGCATTCACATTGATTTTGCCGGACCGTTGGAGGGCTTCCACTATCTGGTAATTGCTGGTGCTTACTCAAATTGGCCTTAAATTTTTTAAATGCGATATGCAACCATTTCTGCTGTTTGGTTAGACCTACGCCATCTTATCTCAGAATTCGGTGTTCCCGAAACACTTGTTTCGGACAATGGTTCCCAATTCACTTCTCAAGAATTTGCCGACTTTTGCAACTCACATGGCATCGAACATATACGCACTCCAGCGTACCATCCACAGTCCAACGGGCAGGCTTAACATATTTTCATTACGTTTAAGCGAGCAGTAATCAAAATGGAAGGAGAGGGGAATATCAGGAAAGCATGAATAAAGTTTTTCAGATTTACCGTAGGACGCCAGGTCCAGCAGTACCTTATAACATATCCCCATCTGAAACTTTTCTCGGTAGCCGCGTCAGACCGGTCCTTGATGCTTTGAAGCCATCGCTACACAAGGGAGAGCGCAATGTTAAAATGGAGTTGGATTTTAATCGTCATCATGGAAAACGCCCCCAGCATTTCGTAACTGGCGATCGTGTGTACGTAAAGAATTTTCGTGCCGGAAGATCATCCTGGATTCCTGGCCATGTCATTGAACGGATTTCATGTGTTTTTGTGCAGAATACAAGTGGATTCCATCATGTGGACATGTAAATCATATTAGACGTCGCAAAAGCAGGAAGCTTCACTACCGTTGGACATCTTGCTGGATACGTATCTACTTACCCCGTCTGAAGAACCTGCCCTTCAAACAGCAAACGAAACTACAGATCGAAGATACTTAACGCGTATCAGGGCGCCAGCGAAGAGACTCAAGGTGAACCCAAGATGTAAAGCGTACCAATCAAACGTTGCGTGTTTTGTTCCCTTTAAAGTAGGAAGGTGTTAGACGGGCTTGCGCTTCACAGTTGGTCATAACTAGATAGTTGGACATTCATGACCGTCCCATCACGTGATCGTGTTGGAAACACGCACGACAGTTTTTCAGAGGTATACCACTCACCATTCATGACTATGTCCTTTCATGTGGTTGGCCTATTGATATATTGAACTTTTGCGTCCCGGTTGTTCAGCTTTATCGGTTTATGAATATAGCTCGTACGGAACGGTGGTATTCTTGCTTCCCTTTCGAACTGAGTTCGGTCACAGTCAGACGTTATAAAAGTACAAAATAAGAAGACAGGTGTATAAAGAACACCAAATATATGAGCTACCACTGAAAAATTATTGTGTATTGGTTTTATTGTTTTGTCAAGAGAGATGCGCAATGGCTGTTTTCATAAGCTCATTATGGTTCGACATTCACAATTAAACAGTTCATTGAAAGCTATGGTTTTACCAGAAAATACCAGTATCGTAAATGATCATTTGCTCGAACCTAAGCTAAAAAGCAGATAGTATGTTTGATCCTACCCAAAAATAAGTCGGGATATTTACGAACATTTAATCTGTGCTTCTGTCACTGTCAAGCTATTTGTCAAAACTCTGCATCCATAACTGATCCAACCTTGCCGCTCTGTACCCTCAATGTCTGCTGTATCCTGGAAAGTTCAAGCCTGGGCGGTGTAATTCAAAGGCCCACAGCACAGTTGTAGCAGCAAAAATCTGTAGATAATCATGTCTACATTAAGTGCATTTAACTCCCTGCTTAGGACTTGCATCACACGTGATGATATGCCCACTGGGTAACAAGGTTATGCCCTGGACATACTTAAATATTTCACTGGGAACTTTTGAGTTTGAATTATTGCTTGTTCAAATACACAAACCACTTCTCTATGCCCATTTGTACAATTACCATTAACTGTTCAAATCGTGGTTTTTGTTTGCTTCTTCTTCATTGTTATCCAGCTACATCGAAAGCGCAAATGGGTCTTTCAATTCCGCACTGAATTCCATCAGAATGTACCCTCAGCAGTACAACGCAGACAAAGGAAGTCATGTTCTAATTTTTTTGAATTCAACAAAACTTCGTGTTGAATGCATCTCACCATATGCCGGGACCCAGAATAAGAGAATACCCACAAGACAGTCAGAATACCGGATGTCACGAGCAACCATTGTGTCATGCGCCTACGATTGAACCACCGCACATCTCCCTCTGACGCATTGGCATTTTTCTCAAACTTTGTACCATACACCTGACCCCATATTTCAGGAGAAACCAAATGAGTTCTATAGTTTTTCATCGAATTTCTCCTTACCCATGAAATATCTGGCAAAGAAAAATCGAAAAGCCATCAGTTTCACGTTTATTTATATGCCTTATATGATCGCTTGTTTATATAACTAGCACTTACCGGAACTCAAAGCTCTTGCTTGCCTGTTTCAGACATTTGCAAACATGAATTTTTGCGCCAAGCATGGAAGTTTTTGGTGTCTGTGAAACGATACGAGAAAAATTTCCAACGCAAACGCATTTGATGATTTTGACTGCTTTACTCACGTTTCAATCCAGTTCCTTGTTTTATTCTTTTGTAATATTCCGGTAGCACACAAATTAAACGCTGCAGATGCACAATTCTTCTCTAGTCCCTTTCATAGAGCCTGCTCTGGTTACTTTTAAACACACTGCATGTCCGCATTGCCAAACCATCGATCCAGATTGTTTGAACCACACTGCGCAAATAGTGTAAAACAACTACTGACAAAATGGGAGCAAGTGATTTTGGTTGTCTATAGGTGTAATGAATACAGAGGCAGCAGCTCTTTTCTGATGAAGGGAACAGTGTTTGCTGTTTGATTATCTTTCAATGAAGAATCATCTACTTGCTTGCACAGTTGTTCACTTACCTTTTGTTTCATCATTTTTAAAACCAGCATCGATCGATACCAATTGAAAGTATTAAGAGAGCGACACAAAAGACACTTTGGCATGACTATCCATCAGCAGTGGTTTACAGTTGCTTCCGAAAATACAACATAGAAACTTTCAACAAAAGCAGAACAAGGGAATCGATTCAGTATATCTTTCTGTGCTTTCTCCTTTTGGTAGCGAAAGTGCTAAAATGCTCTGCGCCATGCTAAACAGGTGGAGTGCTAGGCGCTAAACGTGGTAACGTTGCGCTTTAGCTTGCCAGACGGGTGCAGGAGAATGGTTCCACAGAAGAGATGGATCCACTTGCAAAACATGAGTCCAAGACAATAGTACCATATTTGAAACTGAAGCCATATAATTTGAGACGATTTGTGCCTTTGTTTTGTAACGAAATACTCTGTGTGGGTGGAAGACTGAATCAACTTCCGATGCCGTAGGAAGGCAGAGGTCCTTTTTACTTCCACTTTGCTACGCGGCTTCTTTTATAGCATTATCGCTACACTAATAAAAAATTTGTGATGCATCGTTATCACGATCCTCATAAACATCATCATGATAATTATCATCATCATCTTCACCATCCCCATCTTCAACATCAGCATCATCATCATGGAAGTTGGTAAGTTCGTCGCTTCTAACATTTCTGGGTGGAAAAGGCCATCTGAGCTAACCAGTGTGAATGGATCATAGTCGCAATTTACAAGACATACAGCGACACCGACAGTACCAAACACGGTTATTTCTTAGCTCCTGTGGTGACAGAATTACCATCATCAGTTTTCCTTTGTCACCGATTTTATGAAGGGCCGAAATTATGTTGAAGCGGCGCGGATGGTTGTAGGTGTTGAACCGGTGGGAGTTAGTAGATATTATTTACGTTGGTTTCAGTAAATGTACGACAACGTGATTCAAGGGGTCCTCATCCAAAAGCTGAGGATATGTGATGTTGTTGGCACACTACTTCAGTGCATCAATTACTTCCCCATTGGGAGAAACTGGAGGATACAAGTGAATGAACACCAAAATATTCAACCCACAGCTAATCCGGATAATTTGTCCTTTCTTTTTGGTATCAAACATACGACGGTACTAAAAATGCGGCCCCGTGTCACTTGCCGCCCTGGGCGGACAGCCTTACTGCTCCCATATTGCACCACTGGAAACGAAAATATATAGTCAACGCGCATTAGTCATCTCTTCGTCTACATAATGCAAACCCCTGTCATTAAGCACCATAACGTTTTGTGAGTCCAGCAACGACACCATAGCTCAATCATCGATAGCCGCTCATCCAAACTCAAATCGACTGCACTGCTAAGCAAACCGCTTCCACTGGAGCAGAATCATCAGGTTAACAACGATGTAGATGACGTTCCTGATGAAAAGCGCCTGCTTGGTTGTGCCAGTAAACCATGCTAAATTTTAGCCGATGTCACTTAAGGAAGTAAGGTCACCGCTCATTTTAACGCGAACAGATCGACAGATCACTCGTCGAACATATTATACGTCATGTCGAGAGTACCCAGAGCTTCGGTATCCGGGTGTACATTGGGTCGTCAAAGACCCAGAGGGTTGAAAGTCGAAACAGATACTTGGTAGTCGGCTGGACAGTTTTATATCAACCAAATACTAGGAGTCCGAGGTGGATGGAGAGTGCGCCTGATTTATTTCTCCTGGTTAACTGCACGGTGTACTCACAGCTGGCGATGGAGAACGGAGCTTGAGGTGTGTGGATAAATGACGATAAAACGCATGAGATACGATTGCAACAGACGTCCGGCTATAACCGCACCATGTACCCAAGTAGAATTGGGATGGAGCGAAATAGTAACTTCCACTTGCAAACGGCAAATGTCATATGAACGGACCGATTGGTTTGCGTCATGCAGAGTCACTAATAGCTGCACAGACGCTACAACCTGAGGAGTACATGTGATTCGCCGAAGCTAATATATTTTATCTGCGGCTTCAAAGCACCTTCTCACCTCAACCCTGTGGTGTGTCAGAAAACCGTCTACAACTGACAAATACCCATCCGAAAATATTTCCCTAGAGTGCGTGATGAAACTTCATTGTACTTGCCCTACATGCTCTGTGTTTCCGCATGCAACGTCCAGCCGCCTGCGTTGGTGTAACGTGTTTAGCAATACGGCCAACGGCCACACACACTACCTATATCCGTCAACTCTGCATAGTTAATTTTCTTATTTATTATGCCCTTATCAAATTCCTTATACACTGGTTATCCAAACACAATCAACGACAGGCGGTGGAACATAATTGCTTGCCACACAACCCTGTTAGAGTGGCATCGATTTGTCAAGCTCTCACATGATTGTGCTACAACGCGGCAACTAAAACAGGGTATGCGATGCGACCACATGCACCAAGTTACTGGGAAGCCATGATGTTCCCCGAATAGAGAACTGGCTATTCCTTGCAGGGTATAAAGTACACTCTGACCCGTCACCATAATAAATTGAGAAAAACACTCGCGTAGAACAGGCAGTTTACTCTCAACAGAATGTTTTGCACATCGGCCAAATGAACAACATGTCCATACTTCTTACTGACGTGTTGAACCATTTGGTTGCAGTGCTGCTGTGTCACTAAGGCCCTTGCTTCAGACACCGCGTGCTCCAAAAAGCGAGTCTGCTACTCCATTTTAATTAGAATGACTTCAGGATCCCGCAGGAGCATCTCAGAGTACCGTCCCTTCTTTGTCTGTTTTACACGAGCCTTTATTTTAGTTCAGATGCCTTTGATGAGATTGAGAGCTGAAGATTTTGGCGCAAGGAGTAGAAGCCTCCCAGAGCGGTACGTTTCCGCCAGGAAAACATGCTCTAGGTGGGCGTGACAGGGTGCGTTTTCACAAAACAAAAGACACCTTTCAACAACCCCCGCTCTGTTGTTATCAAGCATTTTTCGCAGCCACAAAAGGCACATTTGCCTGTTGTAACTTCCTCTCAGAACCAAACACTCTATTGTTTTTCATGGTCCGAACAAGATGAATATTCGGTCCCCGGCTGTTTACCACTGTAGAATGCGCTCGATTTTGTTCCCCAGAGTGTTCATTGACCTTAGATTGGCGTGCAGTTCTTTCATTGTTATCAGTCTACCATCCAGGTATCGTGAGACGGTGCTAGTACGTACTGAAAGTTCGAACTCCGCCTTCAACCGCAAGCAAAGATGTTCAGAGGTAAAGTAGGCTGCGCACAAACCAATTCCACCAGAGAGTCGACATGGCCTTCTTCCAGTGCACTGCAACGCACTACTCTGTGCTGTCCCACCGGTTCCGTCGATTCGTACACCTGTATCCAGTTGCGGAAAGTTTTCACGTTCACCTTCAGTATGCATACTCCTGCTTCCAATCGCTCTTTCCTCGTACGCCTTCAATATGACATAGCTAACCTCTCTAAAGTGCCGAACGTACAAGCCAGCCATTGCGTATAGGTTAACTGCACGTTCAGAATCACACAGCAATCTTATTTGGCTGTGACTTGTTATACCAACCTAATCGTCGTTCTAATTGGTGGGAATTGCTTCCTTGGACAGAGAAACAAAGGCCCAATTGGTGCATCGGCCACCGGCACTGAATGTGGGAGGAGCTGAAGCGATCACCTCTATGGCTTAGTACGTCTTAGGTCCCATTGGCTGAAGGCGCCTGGCTATACGCACACACGTTCACAAGTGAGCTGCGCACGCACGGCACAAAGTAATTGAGTAAAGACTTATTTCGTATGTCCCTCAGCGCAACTTCTTTTCCGTTCAGATTAATTCTGTTGCACAAGGGGACAACTTGGCGGAGGAATGGTAGAGATAGCTACTGCTGTTCGGGCATAGGAATTGCCGCGTGATTTTGTCAAGCGTTTTAATTAATATGCTGGTGCGCTTTCATTGAAAATAAGTGGAATTCGGTTGTTGCTATAGGGGGCATAGAAACTAGAATTAGGTACTTCTGCATTCAAATTGGTACCAACTTTGGACGTGATGGTGCTGTCACCACTGCTGTGTGGGTGACTTAATTTTGTTGGCTCCACAGCATGGGATTTATAGGCCACTGCCAAAGGCATTGAGACAAAGAATAATGAGGGCCTTTCAGTCAATGCACCCGGTTTGAATTATTTCTCGCACCGACTTTACCCTGGAAGTTTATCTGACTCACACCTAGGTGATGTAACTATAGTGGAAAACTTAAGTAAGCATGAGGCTTCGGTGTCAGTGGTAGCAAATTAAACGTAGGAAATAATTTCACATGAAGTAATATTTTGGCTTACTTCTTCAAAATAGTCCCAAGGGTAAAATGTTGGCTTCAACGACAAAGTGAAGTTGTATTTATCAACACACTGTGCACTCTTCTCTGGTTGTGTACAAGTACAATCACCTGTGCAATATACCTTTAAGATAAATATGTACACATGGATTATGAAAACCTGATCTTCGATCTTGTTCAATCTAAGGTAATTGATGCAATCAGGTATTTTATGGCAACATTGTCCTCACGCATACATAGCATCGCTATTTGACATTTTGCACTGCCTTATGTTCTCAGGTCACCGACTCCTGCAGGCATTAAAGACATGAAATAGGGTGTTGAATGCCTTTGAGAGCTGCTGTAATATTCCATCAAAAAATATATGCTCAATTATATACGCTATGAACGAAAGTTTGGGTTTAGTGTGCCTGCTTTGATATCAT